CTTACTGGCCATCTGTGTATCTTCTTCAGAGAAATTTCTATACAAGTCCTTGGCCCATTTTAAAAATAGGTTGTTTCTTGAGTTGTGGGAGTTGTTTATTCTACATACGACATCTTATCAGATATATGATTTGCAAATATTTTCTCCCATTCTGTGGTTGTCATTCCTAGTTTTGAGTTTTTAAAAAATCTTTGAATTAAAAAAAATACATTGCTTCATTTGAATTGCTATTTTTCTCCTTTTAGCAATGTATAGTTTAAAAATGAGTTTATTTTGTTACTTTACTCCAAGATGTTTCTCTTTGGAAACCTGAATTCAAATTTTGTTTCTGCTAATACCTAGCTCTAGAGTAGGAATTTGCACAAGTCATTTCATTACTCTGACTCTTAGTTTTCTCATTTGTAGAAGGGTGATAAGGGTGCCTACTTTACAAGGTTGTGTATGAAAACGAGAGGGTGTAAAAGCACTTAGCATAATGCCCACATAGCACGCTCTCACAAAATGGGCTGTATTTGAAAATCCTAAAAGACCTTTAAAAAAACACTTTTATTTCAAGATATGTGTGAAATATTAAGTATTGCCCCAACTTAATAGTGGTTATTTAAGAAAGAATAAGACTTTATATAAATCAATTTGTATCAAAAAACATATCATAGTTTAGCAGTTCTGATGGTGTGTCAGTTTGACCATGTTGCAAATGTGAAAGAGTGCTGTATTAAGGACATTATGTTATGCTATGTTTTCCAAATTCGTTTTCAAGTCCCATAATGGTTTTATAAGTACTGAGTCATAATATAATCGAATAAGCTCATCCAACAAGATAAATGAGAGATTGGTTACTTTACATAGCGAGTCAGTAAAAAATCTGAATGTGATTTCTACAGATACCCGCCTACCCCCATTTCTCTTTATAAGGTCACTACAGCAAACAGTTTCCCTTCAAAGTTAAAAAACAAAACAAAAAACTCACGCTTTTCAGCATCTTAATGGATTAATCTCTGAATCTGAAAAACAGTAAATTTGGCCTAAAGTGAATACTCCATATGTATTAAGTTGCAAAAATATGGTATGCTTTTTTCATCAATGAAAATTCTTCCTCTTCTCCTCCACCTCCTAGATTGTCCCACTGTTTCCACTCACTCCCTTGGTGATGGGATCCAGGCTTTAAGTCAATCTATGAGCTAATAACTGCCAGATGCCAGTTGGAAGGCAAGACTCCTCGCCAGACCTGATTATTCAGCTGCGTCCTGGACGTTTCTTGTAAATGCCTTAGGGACACTGCACACTCAGCAAGTTCAAAACTGAGCTCTTGCTCTCTTTCAAAGCATGCTCTTCTTCAGCCTTTTCATCTCCACCCTCCAGCTGCTTATGCCTACTCTGGAATCATTCTTGACTCCTCCGTGTTTCTCCCATAAGTCACATCTGATCTGCTGGGAAATGCTATCAGTGTTACCTTCAGAATACAACTAGGATTCTCTAACCTTTGTTAATCTCAACTGCTACCATTTCTCATCCAAGCCTCCATCATCTTTGGCGTAAGTGACTACTGTTGGCCTCCAAAGTGGCCTCCCCTTCCCACTCCTGCCTCCCTTAGCCTACTCTCAACCAGCACACAGATGGATTTTTAAACCCTGCAATGGCTTTCTGCTCAATCTGCTCCAGCCACACTGCCTGTCTTGCCATTCCTTGAACATGCCAGGCACACTCCTGCCTTGGGGTATCTGCCAAGGCCTTTCCCTCTGCTTGGTCTGCTCTTCCCCCAGATCTTCCCATGGCCCACGCTCTCATCCCTTTCAAGATTTTGCTGAAATGCCACTTCTCAAGGAGACTTATCTTGACCACCATATTTTAAACGGTAAGCTACTCTACACACTCCCAACCCCCCTTATCTTACTCTACTTTTTCCTAGCACAATCATGGTGTCACCTACTTATTTGTGTTCACTGTTTATCTTCTCTCTTCTCCTTATAAGAATATAAACTTCAGAAATGGAAAAGAATCTGAAAAAGAATATATATATGTATTACTGAATCACTTTGCTGTACACTTTAAACTAACACAACATTGCAAATCAACTATACTTCAATAAAAAAATACAAACTCCATGAGTGAGGGATTTTTGTTTACTGATGCATCCAAAAGGCTACAATAAAGCGGCACTCAAATATACATATTTGATAACAAATTTTATGAAGGTCCCTCACATTGTGGAGTGTGCATACAATCTTGTTGAAAGGCAGGATGTACATACCAAAAGATAAATATCAATACAAGATAATTAGCACATGCTGTTGAATACCAAGAGAAGGTAACATTTTAGGATGGTACACACGATAAACGAAAGCTTGGAGAAGTGCCACATTTAGTTTAGAGAGGTAATTTTTAAATTTGGGGGGAAGGTGGTCATACCTCCTTGAAAATGTGATGAAAGCTATAGACTTTGATGATGTAATGAACATGTATACAAGATTCTGAATACAATTACAAGAGGTTCAAACATTCCCTGATGCCAGCCATGAATCCTGAATCAAGAATCATTGGTTTCAAGGATGTCACCCAAGGCCTGGAAAAGGCTTGGTGAAGTTAGGACTCAAACCAGTTCCTGAAGAACAGGTGATGAAGAGGAAAGGAGAGGAAGATCTTTTCAAGCAAGAGGAAGAGCTAAATGTGAGGGCAGAATAGCTTGACTAGACTAGAGGATTTATGTGATACGTAAGAATAGGCTGAGAACTGCTTTGTGTATGACTTAAATAATATGGATATTGAAAGTCATAGAGAGTTTTTGGGCAAAAGAATGTAATGCCCAAAGCATTGTTTTAAGAAAATTAATCTGGTGGGGTTTTTTTAAGGAGGAAAGTTGAGACAAAAAAGTTAAATTAAGGAAATATTCACAAAGCTATTATATAATGATTCAACTTTGAAGGTATGGAAAGGGAGCTGATAAGGTTTAGAAACTAATAAATTTGAGGCACGAATCCATTTAGAGACACCTGGTTTGAAACTGAAAATCAGAAATAAACTTTAGGTCAAGCCCAGTTACATAAATTTGGGTATTTATTGAATCCTTGAGTGTGGTGGGGGTGGGGGGATGACAAGAGAAAAAGTATTAATAGAGATTATTTGAAGGCTTTGAATGGGACAAAGTGAACAGCCTATTAGTACTGTGATCACAATAAAATGGTAAATTTATATAGACTAAAACCTTAATAGAAGCCTAAGGTATACAGGTATTATGCGCAATTGAAAGTTGTGGGTTAATTGAGGGCTAATACAATTTTTTGTCTTAATTTTTGTTTGCTGAGGGTTTTTTCCTCCAAAATGTATTAGACTTTTTTCCCTTTGATAACTAGGGAACACAGATGAATTGTTTTTAGATGATTTGGGATGTCATTATCCCTTGAGATCATTATAAATACACATTTTCAATATAAAATAACACAGTTATAGGCAATTGGGATAAATTCATGGTGACCACAGAATACATCCTGATACTTTTAAAGACTTCTGATATCTATCTGACTTTTAGCAGAAGACAGTTAACATCTAAAAAAACTGTAACAAAAAAATTTTTAAGTATTTTAGGTATGTATTCATTAAGATTTAGTCTAGTACTTTTTTGCCAACAAGTACAAAGGATACAGGATGTTAGTGTCATATGCATTATTACATCATTGACAGTTTCCACTGGCCTCTACTTGCTTTGTAATACATAAATGTTTATGATTTAGAGTCCTCTTACTTTCGAACTTAACTCCCTCTACTTTTTTTGTGACACTCCAGCTATGACTTGCACGTAAAAGAAATGTATCATTCTTGATGTAACGTTTGTTGGCTCCCCCCGCCCCCGAATCTATCAGAATGCTTCTGTCACCTTAGAAACTTTCTTATTTTAGTGCAACAGGCCAAGAAACCCAGGAACGACATGGTGATTGCTTAATCTGCAATACGTGTGCCTATCCTTACACATCTAAACCTAGTATAGTAAGCCTGTAACTGTGCCTAGTAAACAACTTCGCAGATTCCAGCTGAGCCTTTTTTAAAAAAGTCAATGGCTCTAACTTAATTAAGGGCTCTTATTAAACTACTGAGCAAGAGAAGTGAATCCTGCTCAGATTCAGTCTCGGGTTCCCAAAGCCATTCCCGACCCTCCTTCTCCCGGCTTTCTTTCTAAACGCCTGGTGGAGACCAACTGAAGAACAGAAGTACCAGCACAACCCGCTTTCCTTAGATCAGCCAGTGCTCACGACGGATAGGGATTCAGACATCTAACTTGCAGACGCGGATGCTGTGTATCTATACACTCCTCTCCCCGCCACCCCGCCTGAAAAACAGACGGTGAAGCGCAAAACGGACTCTGGGAGGTGCAGAGGGCTTCCTGACCTGGGCGTCAGGACGGTCGCGGCGGGGGTCGGGCCGGGGGAGGTCGGCGGGGACGGGGGGGCCCCGCCCCCCCGACCCGGCCGTCCGGGGCCTCCCCCGCACCCTCCCGTCATGTGAACACGGAGGCGTCCGCGCTCGGGTCACCGTACCCCACGTGCGGACCCCTAATGGGGCGGCGACCGAGGCGGCTCCTCTCTCCGCTCCTCAGGGTCCCCGGGCCCGCAGGGGAAGACTGGAGGCTGCTGAGGAGGCCGCCCCGAGCTCACCTCAGCGCTGCGGACCGCAGCCCCGCCGCGGCCTCTCCTCTCCGGCCCAGCCTCAGTGAGGGTGGCGGAGGCGGCAGCACGGCCAGCCCGCCCCCGGACCCCCGCCGGCTACACCTGCGCCCCCACGGGGTCGCCCCGAGGTCGCGCCCGGGGGAGGAGCCTGCGGACGCCCCGCCGCGTGGAGCGCGCCAGGTGAGCACGCCTGCGCAGACGGGCCGTAAACAAGCCCGCCCCTTCTCCTCGCCGGCCTCCGCGGGGCCGGCTCGCGGGTGGGAGGGGCCAGCAGGAAGAGGCGGGGGGAGAGCGAGAGCCCGGGACGGCGCCTGCGCGGTGGGCGTGATCCGGGCACTTAGGGCAGGATGAACGCTGCTTTCCAAGATGGCGACGGAGGGAGGAGGGAAGGAGATGAACGAGATTAAGACCCAATTCACCACCCGGGAAGGTCTGTACAAGCTGCTGCCGCACTCGGAGTACAGCCGGCCCAACCGGGTGCCCTTCAACTCGCAGGGATCCAACCCTGTCCGCGTCTCCTTCGTAAACCTCAACGACCAGTCTGGCAACGGCGACCGCCTCTGCTTCAATGTGGGCCGGGAGCTCTACTTCTATATCTACAAGGGGGTCCGCAAGGTACCGACCCGGCCTTCACCGGGGCTCGCCAGCGGCGTGGACAGAGGCCGGGAGCTGGGCGGTGACAGCGGGGGCCAGGGTGACCGGTGGGGTGGCCGTCGCTCCTACTTTTGAGTGGGCCGGTAACTCCGCTGGAGTGCTCCTGAGGAAGGGGGATTCGGGAGTGAGGAGGGTGGTGGCGGGGGTGTCTCGAAGGGGTGGGGGCGGAGGAAAGGGACTGTGGGGTGGTGGGGTCTGGCCGGGAGGCCCCAGAAGGGCCGGCTGCCTCCCCTCCGGCAGGGTCCGTCGGGCTCTGACACGGCCGGGGAGCGGGCCTGCGAGTCCCCGGAAGAGGTGGGGTGGCCGTCTGGTCTGTTTCGACCGCCTTGCCTCCCGGGAGGGTTGAGAGTCTCGCTCTGGGTTGGAGAACCAGGGCGCGGGGCGACTTGGGAAGATCTGTAAGGCAGAACCGGGGCTGGGAAGCAGAGGACTTGAGACTAGGTCAGAAAGGACCTGCTCGGCACGAAGGGCTACTCCACCTGCTGCCGCACTGACACTTCCTAGGAGCCTCTCCTCCTGGTGTTAACACTTTCAATTTCCGAAAACATCCGAGGGAGGACGGCTGTCACTGTCTCCGCGGAGGGGCCCCGCTCTTGAGAGATTGTTAGAGAGGGTCATCTTGTCCCTTGTCGTACGGGAAAGGGCTGAGTACTACAGTTAGGAGGGCGAAAAGATGTTTCCAGTGAACTAAGCTAGTTTCTAGGGATTCTGTGTGAGCGTGCCCAGCTCAGTCTTGCCCAGCTAGTCAGACTGTGTCCCCAACAGGGAGGGATATGCCTTAAAAGCTACTTTACAAGAACCATTCTTCCTGGCGGGCGATTTAACAGTAATTCTGTCAAGCATGTAATCATCCTTTAAAAATATCTCTTAGGAGAGTTTTTCTTTCATTGGCTACGTAACTTTGTTCTCATTGAGAACTGCTTACTTTTGAGGTATGTGGTCTTTGAGTCTACTCTCGGAAGAGTGAGGGAATTGCTCCCCTCAGCACCTCGGCTTGTGAAACGGTGATAAAAGGTTAATTTATAAGTGTTCAGTCAGTGTGAAAATAAATTGTATACATTGAAGAGTGAACATTTTCTAGGAGTTACTTTATCCAGAAGCGGTACGTTTTTGCTTGTTTAAAAGAACTAGGGATGTGACAGTGGTATCTAATTGTAGCGAGTTGTCTAATTTGTTCAAGGTGAATCTTTTTGTTAGTGTTTGTGGTAAGTGTACTCCTGTATTTGAGGTACACTGTTATAAATTGTTGAAAAATTCGCTTGACTATCTCTTTCGGAATTGGAAAAGTGTGAAGTGTAGTTAGTAGTCTAGGAGCTGAAGTTTTAGTCCTCCTCCCAACTTTGTCACTGACTTGTTGAGTGACCTTGAACGTACACACGTTGTGATTTATAGCATAATGGCAGTAATGAACTTTAAAGCCTTGAAACACTCAGTAGATGTAAAATACAGTTAAACACTTAGAGCAGCTGCCAAATAGGAGCTGCTGTCTTGACAGCAGACAGTCTGAAAGGATCAGTCTTTTTTTTTTTCTGGAAATAAGTTAAGGATTTTAAGTTATTAAAATTTATTTACATTAAATTTAAAAAGTGTGTAAAAACTATATTAGCAGCTTATAGCAATTAGTGCAAGCGTTACCTTTAAAAAAACTTTTCTTTAAAGTATATTATTTGTGAAGCACTCTAGTGGCAAACCATAGTAGTTGTGGCTTGCATCATAAAAACAGGTCTCTTGTCTGGAAGTATCATAATAGTGTCCTCTTTTAGTGGGAGATATTCAGTGAAGGAGAAACTAGGAGAGCTTTTCAAAACTACACCAAAAAAATTATTTTAAATGAGACAAGTCTTAAACATGTAAATTTGCCTTTAGTTGCATAATTTACTTAGAACTTTAACTTTTTTGTAAAATTTCAGTTTCATGTGGTAGTATCCTGTAGATACATTTGCATTACATGGTAGACATTTCAGCTCCCTTCTAAAAACTGTCATTAAAAAAAAATTCTTTGTTTTCTATGAATGAGTTTGCATTTATTTTTTGTCATTTCTGAGTATAAGTGATTGTTTTTGTGACTCTATTTTATGATTTTAAAACAGATCAGATAAGTTTCTTTAATCAAAATGCCAAAATTTACTTTTTGGGGTTAGGAGTTATAAATCTGTTTTTGACATTTGGTCATTTTGACTCTTCTTAAAAATGTTTTTCGCGGGGGGCGTATAACATTTTACAACAATTAATCGGATCATTTAGAAAGTCTAATTTGGATGAATACATTCAACTTAAATCTGCCTGAAAAATTAGTGGAAACTAGGTCTTTCATTTATTTTTTATTGAAGATTTCCAATATGATATGTATAGCATAGTGATTCAGTATTTTTACAGATTATACTCCACTAAAAGTGTAAGATAATGGCCATAATGCCCTGTGCTATGTAATATATCCTTGTTGTTTATTTATTTTATATACAGTAGTTTGTATCTCTTAACCCTATACCCCTAACTTTCCCCTCTCCCCTTCCTTCTCCCCTTGGGTAACCGCTAGTTTGTTTTCTGTGCCTGTGAGTCTGTTTCTGTTTTGCATATACATTCTTTTGTATTATTTTTTTAGATGCCACATATAATGATAGTAGACAGTATTTAACTGACTGATTTCACTAAGCATAATATTCTCTAGCATAATATCCATCCACATTGCTGCAAATGGAAGCTGGGTCTTTTAAAAAACTTAAATCATGAACTATGTGCTGCCATTCTTGAAAGAAAGTGTGTAGTCGTGGGGGAATGGAATGGATGAAGAGGTAGTCTAAAATCTAAGCCGAGGACTGTAATCTTGGCCACTTTAAAACATGTACAAGTTTGTTTCTAGAGCTAGAAGGTACCTTAGAGTTTATGGAGTCTCACTCTCTCTCAGAAGCCAAGGTGAGAGAGAGTGCAGACCTGTGGTGCAGTTTTGTCTCATGGTGAAGAGGCACAACTGAATCTAAAGGACTGTCCAGTGAGAAGAGGCTGATGGAGCTTTTTGGTCAAGCACTTCAGAATTTACCCTGGCATTTTGCCATATGTTATTTCTTTGATTTTTTTTTCTTTTTCTTTTTGAATGGAGGTACTGGGGATAGAACTGAGGACCTTGTCCATGCTGAACATGCTCTCTACCTCTGAGCTGGTCCTCCCCGCCCTCCACCTTTGAATCTTGATGGCAATCCTGTTCTTTAGATGAAAGCGTCTTCTTTTCACAACTGAAGTTCGGAATGGAGTTTCTTGTGTTAGGGTATCTAGTTTTGTGAATTTATTTTGTTTAAAAGTAATGTGAACATTGATTTAATACTGAGAGTGAACTAGTCGTTTCAACAAAGATCTGAGTGACTACTATGATTATTGCGCTAGGCAAGGTGATGTGGGTTATCCAGAGATGAGTAAGACCCGCAAAGAACTTTCAGCTACTGACTTTCAAATCTTTTTATGACATATTTTGCTTTCCTCTTTTTTAAAAAGGTTGTTTTAGGATAAAGATGCCAAAGGGAGCTGGGCTTATTGGATCAACCCTTTCATTTTATGGAGATCTGTTTTTACATAAATAGAACGGCCACCATTCAGATCTCAGCTTAAATATTTCTTCCACGGCATATTCTTTGAATTCACAGGCTAGAAATAGTTTTTCCTATTACATGTTTTTATGGCATCCTGTATTTTGCCTTTCTAGCACTTTTCTCAATTTGTAATTCTTGGTCTCTTCTATAAACAAAGCTTCCTTAGAATAGAATCTTTGCTGCTTTTCTGTCTTCCTGGTGTCCAGCATAGAGTAGACGCCTGTTAATTTGTTGAGTGAGTGACTGGATAAAGTGTCCGTGTCCATTTATGTCCTACTTTAAAAAGATCTTTAGGGGCTGAAAAATCTATTCAATTTTGAGCCCTAAAGTAACAGGTATTTTTAGTAGCTTACATCTTTTAAAAGACATTTTAAATTATTGTTAGTTGGTAACAAATTTAGCTTCTTACAACTTGGAAATTATGTAGCAAGGGATAGTGAAAGTAGTGGAAAGTAACCAAATGGTACAGATTACTTTTGAACTACTTCTATCGAACCATGTTACCTAGCAGATATACGTTCTATCAAGCAACTTTTTAAAACTATTCTCAGAATGACTTAACATTCAAGTCAAAAAGCCTTTACTTTCTCCCTCCATCTTAAGATTCGGGCTACAAATGTACTGCCGAGAGATGTTATTGAGGCAATTCCTACAACAGATGAGAAGTAGAATTAGTTGGTGTCCAAGGTCTTTTCAACTCATAAGGTTGTATGACTCTGTGCTCAATAATTTTTTTGATGAAAATAAATTCATTTTTATATTTGGGGCAGTATCTTCATGTCTTGAATTCTTTGCCTACTTCTTGAGTGGAAATTGAGAAGAGTGGGGTGTGTTGTGAAAGCACATTGAACACGTAGTGATTCTAGGTCTTTATGTTAGAAAGACCTCAGGTATTCACCATGCTGAGATGAAACTGGGGCCAGAGGTCAGATAGTAATAACAGCTAAATTTTTTTTAGAGCCAGAATTATCCAGGAGGGTAATGGGTTGACTTAGGAGGGAATGAGCATTCTATATAGGAAATACTCTGTCTCAGTCAAAGGCAGCAGAACCACCTGTTGGTGCCTGGAGGAACTCGTGCTTTGTGTGGGAAGGTGAACTAGATGCCTTTTAAACGTTTTTTCCACAGACTAGTTTTAGATCCTCGATTGCTCCAGAGAAGGTAATATTCACACCTTTCTCCCCATTTGTTATTTTCACACCTCTCTGCTCCCCATTTATAATTTAGAAAGAGGCTTAGAAGTCTAGAATTTTTTATTTCAAATTTACTTTGAGAAATTTTGTATTGAACTTAGTAGGGCGCCTGTGGAATTGGGCGGAAACCTGTAGGGCCCCTCCCCTCCATTAAAGGCCACTGAATGACTTTGAAATATTGATAAAG